ACAAACTATACCCCTATTTTGCCAGGCTTCTCATCCATATGCCCTTAGACACAGGGCAGTCTTCCTATAACACTCAGTTGTATGGTGGCACACAACTGTAATCCTTGGGAGGTGGACACAGAAGGATCAGGAATTGAAGATCACCCTCAGTTATACAGTATGTTGGAATGAAAGTTCAGACTTCCCTTCATTGAAGAGAAAGATATCAAGAAACGAGCTGCTCACACTTGCAGGGTAATGATTCTACATGAGTGTTACTAGGAGAACGCAATTTCTTAGAAATGAAATTTACACTCTGGGAAGCAGAAGCAATGGGTACAGTGTATATGGAAACTCAGAAATAGTGCCAGACACGGTACTGCACTCAGAAGGCTAAGGTTAAGTTGAGAGTCAGAGGCTAGCCTGGGCTAATGGCCAGATTCTGTCTCAAGAAGCCAAAATTCAAAACCAAAAGCAAAGCTGGGCAGTGGTGGCACATGCCTTTAATTCCAGAGAGGCAGTGGCAGATAGAACTCTGTGAGTTCGAGGCTAGCCTAGTCTATAGAGCTAGTTCTAGGACAGCAGAGGCTACGGAGAAACCCTGTCTGGAAAAACCAAGCAACCAACCAAACAACAACAAAAGCAAACAAACAAACAACAACAAAAAACATCCAAACCAAAACAAAACACCAAGAGCAAAACAAAAGGCCTCTCAAAAAGACAGAGTCTAGTTTTGGATCAGTACCCAGACAGGTATGTGCTCTGGAATATATTACTTAGCTCTCTCAACAAAAAGGGTCAAGTTTCTTGATAGTATAGCAGACTCATGTTGTCTACCTTTCAAGGTAGCTGTGTGGATTAGAAATCTAGATATAACACTAGACATGAACATCCTCTCTTGAGATCTTCAGAAGAAATGTTCCAGTTAACCCTATGGAAAATAAACTTTATATTCATGTGACTATAACTGGCTAATAAACTAATCCTACTTCAGGGCAGTCTCTAAGAAAAGGTATTAAATTTCCAAAGGAATAAATTACGTTCTCAGATCTACTGTGTACTCTATGAAATTTAAGTATGCTCAGACTGCTCAGGCAGGCTCCAGGCAAAGGTGCGTGAACAGTTAGCTGTCACTACACACAGCGCAGGCCTCTTGTTTCCAACCCTCATCTCCTCTCATTTGATATGTGTGAACAATTAGCTATTATTACAGTGCAGGCCTCTGTTGTTTTCAATCCCCACCCCTTCCATTTTTCACCTGCAGCCCTTTCTCCCAGCAATAGTTTTGTTGTTGTTGTTTTTACTTAAACCTTGCCAGGTATGGTAATGTGTGCCTGAAATCCCAGCAATTGGGAGTGAGAGATAAGAAAATCAATCTGAAGCCAGCTTGGTCTCCACATTGACTTTCCAGTCAGCCAAGGATAGATAAGCAAGACCCTGTCTTAAAGGAGAGAAAAAGAAAAAGAAAAAGAAAAGAAATCAAACCTTAATTAGGCTATCATCTTGAGGGGATATGCATTGTTATTTAAATGATACATATTCTCTTCATAAACTTGTAACAAATACAAACACATGTAAAAGTTTCAGGTGTTTAAGGTTCTCCTGAAGGAGGTTAAGTAACCCCTGGCATTTAAGATTTGCAGTAATTCCTCAGCTATAAAAACGCAGATTATGCTCACTCTACCATCAAAAACTTTCTCCAAGACTCCTCCAGTCAGCAAAGCAAGCCGGCCCTGGCAGCACTTCCTGATCTCCTCTGGAGGGCGCCTGGTACACGCCTAACTTCTTAGGGATTCTAACCTACTCCACTACTGTATTCTCACATAAAATCACAATTTTCACACAGTCATGTGCTACCTGGCTGTACAGAGAATAGGAAATATTTTTGATACTTTGGTTACTCGATGTATCACCTGAGCCTCTGGCACCTAATGCATTCTCTCTCTTCCTCCCTACACTCCAAGCAAAGCGCTTGAGCTTCCAAGACACACTGTTCCCATCTGTGAAACGGAGGTGAAGGTCCATGTGCGTGACTGAGGAGTTGAAGGAAACTGCACTTAGGAGCACGGAGAATGGAGAAACATGGTGTCGGAAAACTGGTGGACTAGATCATCTAAAAATTCCAGAAGATGAGCTCAAACCTTTGCTACCATTTGTTTGTTTGCTTGAGACAGGGTTTCTCTGGGTAGTCCTGGCTGTCTGGAACTCACTTTGTAGACTAACTCACAGAGAGCTGCCTGCTTCTGCTGCCTGAGTGCTGGGACTACCAGTGTCTGCCAGGGACTACCCTACCCTGCAACCTTGGCTGTCTAAACTGGGTTTTTTTAAGGACTACAATGGGTCACAGATGTGATTAGAAGCTGTTATGAGGCAGTTTGAAGTAATAAGGACCAATATAAATGAGGCCTCAGAGAAAGGGTAGACTCTGGGGAGGGGAAGGGTATCAAGGGAACCTTTCTTGCTCTGTTGGTGCTTAGTATAAAAAAAAAAAGTATATATAGGGGCTGGAGAGATGTCTCAAAGGTTAAGAGCATTGTCTGTTCTTCTAGAGGTCCTGAGTTCAATTCCTAGCAATTGTATGCATACACACACACACACACATATGTATATATTTATTTAAAACCAACTCAAGAGTAAGGGTGAAATACCATTTTCAAGCATGGAAATTCTCAAAACATTTATCTTGCATATTTTCTTTAAAAAGCCTATAAGGGCTGGGCTCCTTGGAAATAAGGGAGTAAACCATGGATGGTAGAAGAAATCTAGGCACAAGGGCAGGCAACACAGAAAAGAGGAAATTCTCATAAAGACGGCAAAGTAAAGCTAAGGTAGTTCTGTGCAGCCACAGGTTACAGCTAGGAGGAAAAAAACATAGGAAAAAAAAAACAAAATGGGGACAGAGTAACCTATGTTTAACGAATTTCAGTTGGTGCTCCTTTTGGAAAGACGGTGGGCAAATCAACGATAAACATGGAAATCTAAGCAATAGTGGTGCAGGCTCCTGCCCTCAGAAGGCTGAGGCGGCGGGACGGCATCTTTGGAGAAAGCCTGGACGTAAAAAGGCCATCTCAGAAATAAGTAACGCAGCGCTGGGGAGACTCACAGCAAACATTCTAGCCTCAAAGCCTGACCTGGGCTTGTTCCCTGGAACCTACATAAAGACAGATGCAGTGGCATGTGTCTGTAATCCCAGCACCTGAGAGGTGGATACACACACACACACACACACACACACACACACACCACGAATTAATTTTTTAAAGTAATTGTGTTTGGATTTCTTTTTCCCTTCCTTCTTTCCTTCCTTCCTTCCTTCCTTCCTTCCTTCCTTCCTTCCTTCCTTCCTCCCTCCCTCCCTTCCTTCCTTCCTTCTTCCTTCCTTCCATCTCTGCCACTACAATGCCTCTGCATTAAGGGCATGGGCTACCACCACCTGGCCAAAGATTTAATTTTAAGCCAGGTGCTATCTTTAATCCCAGCATTTGGGAGGCTAAGACAGAGGAATCACCACAAACTCAAGGCAAGCGTGGACCACAGAGAATTCCAGTCCAGGCTGTGCGACAAAATGAGTCTATGACTGGTAGATAGTTGTGAGCCACCATGTGGTTGCTGGGAATTGACTTTAGACCTTTGGAAGAACAGCTAGTACTTTTAACCTCTCAGCCACTTCTCCAGCCCAAATTTCTAAATCTTTAGTAGTAATCAAACAAAGAGCAGGTAAAGAGCAAACAGGCAACAATGAATGTGATATGAAAATATATTAAACTAGGTTTGTCGGTACACGCCTGTAATACCAGATTGGGAAGTACAGGCAGGTGTTCAAGGTCATCCTCAGGTACACAGAGCTCAAGGCAAGCCTGAGATACATGAGACTGTCTCAACACAAGCAAAATATGGGATATATATTTTTTTTTAAGTCTTAAAAACTAAGGCCAGCTATGGTGGTGCCTTCCTTTAATCCCCGTACCCAGAAGGCAGAAACAGGCAGATATCTGTGAGTTCAAGGCCAGCCTGGTCTACACTGCAAATTCTAGGCCAGCCACAATACACAGTGAGACCCTACCTAAAAACAAACAGAAGTTCTTTTTTTTTTTTTTTTTTTTAAATATTAACACCACACCATCAAACAAGATATCATTTATTTTCAAAAAAATAAGTCAAGAAATAGTGTTTACCTTAAGCTTTGGATATATGTGGCGTAGAGAATCTGCAGTCCCCATGTCAGCCTCATCAGGAATGCACACAATGTCTGCTTTCATTTTCATCTTGAATTCTGCACACAGAGCCTTTTGGACATCTTTGGTTGTAACCACAATGACTTCTATAGGATGAAAGAAATAACAGACAAATGCAGATACTCTCTGTTGGAGTAGCACATGCCTGCAATTAGGCAATCCAGAGGTGGAGACAGGAGGATAAGGAACAAGGCCATCGTAGTCTACACACCAAGTTCAAAGCCAGCCTAGATTAAGTGAGAACTTGTCTCACAAATTTAAAATCAGAAGTAACAACTGCTAACATTACTGAGCTTTTTCATTGTATTTTATTTTATTTTTAAAAGAAAAACCTGGCAGTGCCAACAGTAAATTTTATTTTCAGAGGTAAGGAATTCAGATCCTCTGGGCATTCTGTTACAAAGTGGCACTTGTCCAGAACTGACACCACCCCATAGCTGGCCAACTTCAAATGCACCAGTGAAAAAAGCTGTTTTCCCTTCAGGGGGAAGAAAGAAAATGACTCCTAAAACCCAGCCAGTTGGGTTGAGAGCTATCTGTTCCATCTCTTTAGGCTCATTTTTTCCTCTTCCTTCCTTTTCTGCACAAAAGAGAGACCAAAATCTAACCTGAGTTATAGGAAAACTAGACAGGGTGGCTACAGAGGGAGTGCCCTGGAACAGCTGGAACGCTTCTTAACCTACACATCCAATGTCTGTGCTTCACAGAAAAACAGTAACAACAAATACTCAAAGCAACAGAATTATAAAACCCATTCATCCAGGGGTGCTGCAAGACAGGAAGGAGGAAAAATTTGAACACTTCACAGCTCCGCATGTCAACCTTGTGCAGGGGCCATACTAATCTTCTCTGTGGCATTCCCATTTTAGTGGATGTGCTGCCGAAGAGAACACTA